TGGCTTTATTTTTCCACCTTCTCATCAGACAAAAGTATATGCAATTTATAAGTCATAGTATAAAACAAATAACATTGACAAATAGTTAAGGGACTATATATGTAATTCGCTCAATATCCCAAAGATTCGAAGCTGTCGTGGCACGGCTCTCTCTATACATACGACGTCATAACACAAATTTCCCTTTTCCTTCCCCACTTTCTTGGTTCCTACTTGCGACCTTCGTCGGAGCTTCCTCCTCCGACTTCTTAATCCGCCGTTGGCTCCCTCCTCCTCCGCTACCCTGGAAATCACATCAAAATTCATCCTCTATCTACCGTCTTCCTCTTTCTCTCTCTTCAGTATGTGCGAACGACCTAATTAGGTTTTTGCGCCTCTCTAATGCAGCAGCAACCACCTACTCACCCGGATTTCAATCAGTCCGGAGGAACAACGTCTCCACGCGCTTCAGTATGTCCGTTACTGCATTACCTTGTTGTCACGCGCTTTCTAGTGGCTCACCTCTTCCTTCTACGGCCGGAGCTAAAAATAAACTCTCTAAACCCTATATCTCATTCAACCGGACTGCTCGCTTGTTAAAGTTATCATCTTCAAATACATCGAGAAACGTAAGTTCGAACTTGCATTTTTTATATATTAACTGAATGTAAGTTATGTTTAGTAGTATATACTTGTTCTTTGATGATTACATAAAAGCATTAGAACTTTTCTGAATGAAACCTTTGAAACATTTGCACCATTTCTGATTGTATCAATTTTGTAGTTAATTATGCAGTTATGAAGTTATGTTGTTTGGGGCTGTTATAACAGATTAAGCATGTGATTCTTTTATCTTCCATTTAACATAGATCATATAGAATTTTGTCGATTTTATACATGAATGCCAGCTTTTAGTAGTGAGTTCCCTGTAAAATGTTATATGCAAAAGACTCCGACTAAACTAGATACAGAGGGCAATAGTTTCTTCAGTATCAGGTGTAGATGTTCCTAGTTCTACTAAATCATATACAGAATTATGAATCTGTTGATATGATTTAAATCTGATTCATCATGCTTACCTTTTTCTGTCCTTTTTAAATAAACAACATAACACAATGCTTGATGTTTATCTAACCTGATTGAATTTGATGTTGATTTGTAGAATTGGAGATTTTCATGCTTTAAGAATGACGAATCATCTTCAGAATATTCTGCCTCTGAGGCTTCAGAAGATATGATTCCAGGAGAAATGGTAGAACCAGAAACAAAACAACCAAATGTGAATCATGATTGGGTGCTAAACTTCAAAAAGGTGGTTTATATTTTTCATATTTAGTACCTTCTTAGTAGTGCATTTGGCATCACTGAAGATGGTTATTATACCAATCACATCATTTAGATATCCTTAACAAAGTAGTAGTTCTGCACTAATGTCTTAAACAGGGTAACTAACTATACACACAGAAACTATATATTCTACCTTTTGTTAGTGATACTTTTTATTTTAGTATTGTGAGTTATTGTATGCACTTTATTACGTGAAAGCGTAGAGAGAAATACTATTTCCTGATGTGTCTGAATGTTATTTTCAGGCTTCAGATGCTGTATTTACTGCAGAACCATGGACAGTGCCATGGACAGCTAAGACCATTTTGCAGGTGCAGCTCTTTGCATTTAGTACCATTATTACCCCTATTAGCATAATATTCCATACAAATAAATTATATGAAAACCCATTTTAAGATGCAAAATGAAGAGTTTGTTTTGGTTAAATTAATTATTGCAGGTGATGCTCCTCTGGATTGCTTCATTTTGGTTAGTAGGATCATGGATAATACCATTTATAGCCCACACAGCAGGTTTCAGAAAAGAATCCCTAACATACAGAGGCCAAGCCTTATACAGTCTTTTAACAGACATCGTCGAGGGTATTTCCGGAATTGCAATCCTCAAACTTTGTCTCGCTAAATTCCACCCTCTTTCACCCGATTGGTTCAGATTTTCCCTCAAAGGAAAATGGCAATTGGATGTAGGTCTAGGCTGCCTCATGTTCCCTTTGGTCAACCGTCTCTCACAAGTCAACCTCAATCTACTCCCTTTACCTCCCCCGACACCTGTCGCGATCTCAAACGTCGAACAATCGATAGTGGCACGTGATCCAATGGCTATGGCGCTTTATGCCATAGTAGTTTCCGTTTGTGCCCCTATATGGGAAGAGATTGTGTTTCGGGGCTTTCTTTTACCTTCATTAACAAAGTACATGCCTGTGTGGTGTGCGATTTTAGTGAGTTCGTTAGCTTTTGCTTTGGCTCATTTTAATATTCAGAGAATACTCCCACTTGTGTTTTTAGGGGTTGTTATGGGTACTGTTTATACTCGTTCTAGAAACTTGTTACCCTCTATGTTGTTACATAGCCTTTGGAATGCCTTTGTATTTGTAGATCTTATGAGGTAGGTGGTTATGCTCTTGCTATTATTCATTTTCACCATTTGTATAAGCATATCCTTTTTTTATTATTATTATTAATCCAGTCTTTCACACAGCTAAATGATTTAAGCACTTAATCTCAATATCTAGATACATGGTTGTTTCTTTTTTATTTAACGTGGATCGAATAACTTAATGGGTTAAGCCAATTAAAACTGATAAATATTGTGATTTTTTTTTTTTAATGTAAGGATAAAATGGTGAGACCTTATCCAAATGATACGTATTCAACCATTTTACTCATATAACATTAACAAATGAGTAGGATACGAAAGAGCCATGTAGGATAATTTTATAAATGTTTGTTTGATAGTTTTTGAGTCACACTTGATTGAGTCAAGAGTAAGGGTTGTTTGGTAGCATTTAGAGTATTCATATCTGGATGATATAGATGCAGACGTTCTGTATAAATCTGTATATGAATGATAAATTGATGTTTAGTCAGACATCTGAATGTCTGTCTTTTAATGATGAAAATGACCATTTTAACCTTTTGAATTATTTGTTGTTTTTTTATTGGACATGTGAACAACGGTGCTGAACGATACCGAATTTGTAAACAATTATAAATAAAATACAAAACGTCATACAAAATCCAAATTAAACATTAAACAAATTCAAATTAAAATGCATACAACATCCAAATTAAACATAATCCTTAGCATACAACTTTAAAGTAATTGATTAGCAATCTGTATGCAACATCCAAATTGTATTCTGTTTTCAACCTTTCAACTGCATTCTTCAACGAGTTCGCTTTCAAACTACCCCCTCATGTCTGTAAGTTGTAATTTCTTGAATACAAGCTTTAAGAAATGTCTTTTCCACACCTTTTATCTGTTTCCAATTAATTCTAGACTTTTTTTTACCATTTGTGCCCTGTCTAGTATTCAAAATCCACCAAGAACAAGTTTCAACAAGCAATTTTGAACAAGTTTCAACAATTTTGAACTTTTTATGCATAGCAACAAAACCCAACAACAACAGAGCAACAAAAATCGAGCAAGAACATAACAGATTTCGAAGTTCACTTAAATACAAGATAACTCAACAACAAATATCATAATATAGAGCAACAAAAACACATAAAATCGATTTCACACAAGTTTCAACAAAGAAGAAAACTCAACAAGAACAGATCAAACATAAGCTTCAAGCCGACCAAAAACATGCTTAAAAAAGTCGATTTCATAGATTTAGGGCTTGAAAAAAGATTGCTCAGAAATCGATCAGCCAAAGACAAGAACACAACGAACGAGACAGAGGGGGGAACTTACTAGCGAAGGGGAGGCGGAGCTGGATTGGCGTTGCTGCAAGTCCGATGGCAATGTGAGAATCACCGAGAAACAAAGAACGATGTCGACGGGAGAAGAGAGGGAAAGAAAAAAAGAGGCATACGTTTCTTTTCTTTAGGGTTAAGGGTATCACATGAAAATGTAAATTTTTTCATCGAGACTTGTGAACACATCTGACCAATCAAGACCACTTTCACTTGTGTCTGGCCGATTAAGAGGCTGAAAAAGCTCCAACCAAACACTCTGAATCTGAACGATCCAGAGCCAGCCTCTTTATGAGATCATTAAAAGGCCAAACAAACAGCCCCTATGACTCAACCTTGAATCTGACCCAATAAGATGCATTTCAAAGGAGAATGGACCGAGTCAAGGGCTTTTAAGTGTGATATCAAACAATTTGAATTTGACTGAGTTACTCAGCTTCTAGCCTCTTACTAGACCCATAGCACAAGATACTAGATATTAGATATTGAATGTCTGCGTATCCTTACAAGTCCTTTTTTGTCCGGAGAGAAAGGATATCAAACGGGGACCATCGTTCGGTTTCAAAGTTTCTTTCTGGTTATGGTTACATTGTCTCGTGTCCATTTCTTTACCCGACAACCTTCGGGGACCAATGTCTACTCCTTTTGTTTTCTTTTGCGAAATATTAATTCGTAATTACAAACATCAACAAAAACAACAACATTACAATCTTCTTCCATTCTAAAGTTGTAACCACTCACACTGTTGGTGGATGTAAATCCCTGAAATTTCTAGTCCAAGAGAATATATAACCATATTTACTTCTTTAAATTTTCAACAAACCTATATATACATAATTATATATTACAATTACTTTAATATTTAATTAAAGATTTTCAGGTTTGCTTGCAGACCATTTTATTTTAATACGAGCATGCATGTTTCTTGGTATTAAACAAGTTCATGTGACAAGTATGACTGTTTGACGCGATATTTGTTTAGTTGTCCCCTTAAGACACTTTTACTTGTGATATTTGTTTTTTATTAGGAGACCTGTTAATACAATTATTATAGGGGCAACCACCCCCTCGGGCCCAATAAACTGGTTTTCATCAATTCAATCTTACTGTTTAATAATACCACTTTTCTTATTTATTATAAAATTAAATATAATATACCATGCAAATGCAATATCAATGACATCATGTGGGGTTCACATTTCGATAATTATATATACTATATGTTATCTATAGTGTGAAGGACCACAATAATGATGTCTTTACATGCACATGTATGTTTTGTTTCTCTCTATATATACATACCTATGTCTACACACCACAAGGAATTTGATAAACATATCCTGAATCATTATTCATCATTCATAATTTCATCATATCCTTCCATGGAAGCTTCAGAATCACTATCGATTGAGAGCTTTTCGTACAGTTGGTTAGTCAACTTAAAGCCATCTTTTGAGAGTTCTTTTAGAGCCTCCTTTGATGATGATTCCAACTTCATTGAAATGGACCCGAAGCTTTCCGCTTCTAAAAGATTTCTTGTTTTTCATCAAGATTTCGACTTTGATCTCCCGACATTGCAACCTAATTGTGTTCATGCCGATGAGCTCATCTCTAATGGAATCCTCGTTCCACTTTTTTTAAAGCCGTTGGATATCGGAATGGGAATCTATGATTCCGTTTCCAGCTCGACTCCGGTTTCACCGGTGTCTTCCGCCACCCATGGCAGAAGTCGGTCTTTGCTCTCTAGAAGGTACCGAAGACTGCCGAAAAGTGTCGTCCGGAAGTACTTGAATTTGGTAAGGCTGCTTTGGCTTAGAATGAGAAGGGGAAGGTCCGATTCCGATTCCGGTTCAGGTTCTGGTTCCGGTTCCGGACCAAGCACCGGAATTGGCATGTCGTCTCCCAGGGAAACCGAAACGTATTCTTCTAACAATTGGTTAAGATCATGCGATTCCGATTCCGCTAAAATCTTGGCATTCGAAGGCACAAGTGAAGCAGACAATTGGAGAAGATCATGCGATTCCGAGAGTTCAATTTACGAAGCGGTTCTTCACTGCAAGAAAACTATTGGTTAGAATAAGTCGATCTCGTGTGTTTCTTTTTTTTGATTAATTTAGTTTGCAATTCACAAATCAGAAAATGAAACATACAAAAAATTGGTAAAATTTCAGGCTATAAATGAAGAGAAAGAAGATGCGAAGATGGTAGAACATGTAGAAAATTACCGTCTGAGATTTTATGGTTGGTTTTAGACGTGTAAAGTATTACTAGTCTTTAGAGTAAAAAACTGTAACTACCGGTCGTCCAAATTATGTGAGAAATGATCTTTTATATAAAATGCATGTCTTAAAAATAAAAACATTTATTGGATGCCTGGTTTTCAAATTGTCTTTGGTTTGGTCAATCAAAGAAGTTCGACCTCCATAACTCCATTGTTACCTGTTTTAAGGAAAAGTCAATATTGATACTAACTTTGTAATAAAATTGAATAATAAAAGAAATCTGGGGTGGTTCTTGTTTTGAACTAGATCGAATTAAAACATGTACATCCTTGAGAAAAATACGAAAATCAAGAGGCCAACAAAAAAACAAAATATAAAAAATAAGAAAAAAACAGGAATTAGACGTTACTATGTGAATTTCTTGCTTAGGTTTAACTGTAAGAAAACAGGAAAAAATAAGAAAAATCTTGGTGTTGATTTTACCAAAATGAAATATGTGAATTTCTTGCTTAGGTTTAACTGTAACCAAAAAATTCACCATCGGGTTCCATAATGTATTTAAGTTGTTTTAACTCTTGGGTAACTTATTTTCCGAAAACGATGGGAAGAAGAGAGAGTGGCTTGGGAAGGAAGTAGATTGCAAACATTTGCCGATGAGAATTGCCGCCCAACAATGCAGCCACAACGGTCCCGTGTTGCCCTTCGTTGTCGTTTCAACGGGAGTCGGGGGTGGTGTTCCCGGTGTTATACTGACCTTTTAGGTGTCCACATCATCATAACGCGAGTGGACGTTGCCCACACCGAGCACTCTAAAGGGTGTAGTGATGTTTTTGTCAATGGTAAAAGGGTGTCACATAGGTGCCACATAAGCTTTTACAATTTTTGTTGCACTTTGCGTATGAATGGGGTGTGGAGTTTTTTTTACCAGTGATATATAGTGGTATTTATATTAAAAAGAAAAAAAAGTTGCATTGACAATTAGGAAATAAAAAAAGCTTTACTATTGAGATTTGTCATCATTGGAACTTCACCTATGGGATTTACCATTGGCAAAAAAGAAGAAGGGAAAATGACACAAATGCCCAACGAAGTTTCTAGGGTTGGTCCTTTTAGTACACAAACTATTTTCGTGTCTTTATGAGGGAACAAACTCATGGGCTACCTGTCTTTTTAATCCCTTTGACTTGTTATACTCGGTTTGAATGCCACATACACAAAATTTTGGGCCCATCTTTTTCGTGTTCATCATTTTCATCTGTGTTAAAATGGAAGAGTTTGAATTCATTTGACGATGATAAAGGAGATGAGATGGTTATGGAAGGCGACGAAACCATCAATCTACCTCGCGATGCTTCCGATTTGAAGAAATTATAGAGAATCGACTATGGCGGTGGAGCTGGAGAGGATGAATGTTGAAGGATTGATGTGTGAGACCGTCGCGAGCCATCTTTAGAAGTACATGTTATATATCTGAAGAGGATTCACATCCAAGATTATTCGTCTTCAAATCACCGATTCGCTTCAACTTCTCCCCCAGAATTTACACGAATCCGACGGCAGCGGTAATGGCCATTACCACGCTAAAGGGTCTATTACGATGCATTACACCCCACAGATGGTTCCCAATCCTTCTCCATCACCACAAATGAATACTAATTATGCAGGTGGTGGAGGTTCTTACCATCGTGGGTTTGGGCCCCACTCGTCTCTACAGTGTAATCATCGCAACAGAGAGACTATCATCATCATATGACTTCTAAGAAAATCGAAACTAAAATGGATATTCATATCAAGAAACTCAGGTTTTGAAATTGGAACTGGATTAAGGGATGTACTTTAGCTTAAACACAAGATTGTTTGTTCAAATCCGAAGACCCAAAGCTTCAAAGATGGATCATAGATAAAGACGAACATCATAAAGCAAAATTACCTAAATCAAATAAGAATATCAAATAACCAGAGCAACAATAGCCTTAATTGCATGAAGAACGAAAATCCCAGATAATATTTGATCATAAATTCGTCTTGAAATCGCATTCACATGGGAGAATATCAACACCCCTTTCATTGCTCATAACAATTCCATCGCATCCAGGGATTTTACAGGAAGACCCTTTTGCTCCAACCATTTGTGGATGGGTAGTTTCAGAATCAATAACTTTGTCCATTAAGTGAGCTCGTGTTACACTGTTGAACCAACATGTGAAAAGAGAGTTTAAGACGTATTGTTCTTCTACCTTTTGGGAGATTGAAGGATCCATGGGTTGATTGTCGGGTGTAGCAGGTATGTGGACTGTGTAGTTCATGAACTCTATGCTTCCAATTTCACTATCCAGATCATCTCTTGAGTAGTTCACATAGCGCCCTGAAGAGGTCCTTCTAGCAAAAGTCAATTGTGGAGGAATCGGACCCCTCGATTGTTGTAGCTCTAATGCTTTCGGTGATCTTGAAGACATTTTCTATGAAATTTGTGAAAAAAACTTGTAATTTAGATTATCGAAGGAATCCAGAGATCACCTGAAAGAAGAAGAAAAAAATCAAGATAAGAAAAAAGAGTAATTAAGATATAGATGACGAAACCTGCAACAAAAAGTACCTAATCTGATATCAAGCATCATCCATGGAAGAAACCCCAAACCTTTTTTAGTTATAAAATACGAATTGATCCCGTACTTATTTTTTAGGCTTTATAGGGGCACAATGTGAGCTTTTTTGTTTTAAAAGGCCACTGAACATGCTATTACAGGTTGACAGGAATTAAAGAGCAAGTCATATCCTAGTTTAGGGACCCATAAAGCCCGACAAAAATTTTAGGGACAAATGGGTAACCCTAGAAAGTTTGTAGGGCATTTATGTCATTTTAAAAAGGTTGGGACGTGTGACAACCGTCAAATTTCGGTCAAGTCAAAGTCAAACAAAGTCAACAAGTCAAACCGGTCAACTCCATTAACCCTTGTATGTTAGGGTTTACATTATACAATTCGCTATTTCAATGAGAAAACATCATTTGAAAAATTCATGTGTTTGATTTTCCTTAGCCTTAACAGTGCTAAGCAACGAACCAAAGCGATAAAACACTATTGCACAATCATCGGGATTGTGTAAGACACTAAATCATGGCTTAACGGGGTTTATGGACCTTTCGTTGCGAAGCCGGACACTCAAAAAGATCACAAACGAAACCTCTCACAATCTCTTTCACTCAACCTCTCTCTATTAAAATCTCTCCCAAATCTCTCCCGAATCTCTCCCAAATCTCTCTCAAAAGTTCCTTTAACTTTTTGTAATCATTCGGGCCATCCCGACCCTTAACTGGGTCAAAAACCACTTGAAACGGGGTAAAAACGGGTAAAATAGGCTTAAGGACCCAAAACTGAAGCTTCAGGACCGAAGTCCCTGTCATAAAGGAAGACGACACACATTTGTCTGTCGTAACCTTACGACGCGCGTGTTGATGACACGCAATGAGTATCAAGGAAGCCCCTGTCATAAAAGAAGACGACATGCATTTTTGCGTGTCATAATTTTTCCGGTTTTTCGACTACGACTTCGTTTTAGGCCCGTTTTTCATCATTTTAACGCGGGATTTTCACCAAAAACTTTATTTTTACAGTTAGAACTCTATATTTCAGTAATCCCCACGTTTTTAGGGCCATTCATACCAATAATTAGTGGGGGAGGTGCTTGAGGTGGAAAGATGACTTTACTTTACTTTATGTCACATGCCACCACTCACACCCACTACATGGCCAACTCTTTCCCACTACATGACCAGCTCTTACCCACTACATGACCAACTCATACCCACTACATGACCAGCCCCACTCCTTGTCTAAGTATAAAAACCCATCCCCTCTCTTCATACTTCTTTCATTCTCTCATTTTCCTCCAAGGATCACACTCCAAATTCTCTCACCATTCTCTCTCAATTCCAAGACTTCCAAGGCTGATTATCAAGCTTTCTTCCACTCTTGGTAAGTATAATTCATTCTTCTTATGATTATTACACATCCTTCTACTCAAAATCATAAGAATCTTACACAAACATCGTCACCTTCATGTTAGGTTCTCGATTCGTCAAGGCATCTTCTAAGTGTTCTTGGGTTGAACACTTCTCTTCTCCAACATCCATCCTCTAATAACACATAAGGTGAGT